TTGTACACAAAACAATCTATCCAAGCAATTTTGGTTGCTGAAAGGACAAACCTTTGGTTATGTTTTGTTATTTTCCTTTACCGAACTAGAGGTTTGAACCGTTAAAGTTTAATAGACTTGGCTTGTTTATTGTGTTGGAAATTTATATAGTAATGGAAAATAATGGTTCAGATGGACTACCATGAAAGCTTAAATAATATTTGGAGTTCTGTAGTTATAAATAGTATTTTAGTTTGGTAGAGAATTAGTTGGGAATACAAATTATGGAGAGATGTTATTTCGGAAAGTCAGAAAAAGTTCGAAATGGAGAATTGCGGACGATAAACTTTCAAAAATTTTTAAAACATGTCTCCCGGAAGTATCGTAATTCACTGTTCTTCAATTTAGCTTCCGATTGGAATTTTACGACTTATGTGATGAGAGTTATGTTTGCCGAATTGGTTTCGGCTAATTATTGGCGAATTGGTTTCGGCTAGTTATTTGCCAAATTGATTTCTTCACTTTAATTCATAAACAACACGTGAGCTGTTAATTCCAAAGCCCCAAACATCCATGCAAATTTATGCTTAGCAAAATTAATATATATATATATATATATATATATATTGCTAAGTAATTTTGCATGTGGTTCACCTTATAAAGGTTTATAATGTAAGTATATTCATGATCAACATGATTTGTGTAATTAATTTTTCCATGATAAATATATAATTTAAGATATATCTTATGAAAGTTGAGTTTTAAACTATCGGTAACTTCCATGTAACCTCTCCTAACAGTTAGATTTTACATTTATAAATACTTGGAGAGACATCTGAAAGAGAGAAATTTTTACATGCAATTAGTTTGTAGGAAACCAAGATATTTCATAGTCTTACAATTCTACAGAAAATTCTCAAACAAAACAACTTGAGATCGAATTTCATTCATCTTCTTGTATCCCATAAGATTAAATCTTGAACCTTGTTGCTTTTATATAGGGAGATTTAAAGCTTATAGGAAAGTGATTACACGCCTGAAGATATCAAATGATCCAATTTTTGTTCCCTGATCTATTTTGTACTTTTGTTGTATCTCAAATGTATTAAAGAATACAAGTACTTTTTTCAACATATTATAGAGGAGATAGCAAAGCTGTTTCCTTGCGTATTTGGACAACCATCAGCAGCATTGGTGCCGGATGACTTAGGTGATGTTGCAATGGGTTAGAGCTTGAAGATTGGGGTGGTTTTATTTGGAGGCCAAGCTACTGGAGGACATAACGTTATCTCTGGAAATTTTTGTTAGATATTGGTTTATACTTAAGTTTAATTGTACTTGAGGTTTTTTCCATTAGAGTTACATCCGCCTTACCTGCACGATCTTGCCCGATCGAGTGTTACATCTATCCCGCTTCTTAGTGATGATGCCTCTTGCAGGCCGTTAAAGTGTTACATCTATCCCGCTTCTTAGTGATGATGCCTCTTGCAGGTCGTTAAATAACAATTGGAGGTAGGATTGTTTGCCATATTTTTCTCCCTACAAGGTGGCTTTTTTGGGAAGAACAAAGGAAAATGTGTGTTGTAACATTCTTCCAAAAGGCTGAACCCCAACCCTAAAGGCCCCCCACACCCCGACCCGATGTGTTTTGTAACATGCTCATACTGAGCGGGTGTTTTTTGCTTCGACAACAAACTCAAAATTGTTTTATATTTATGTTTTTTTTAAATAACACGAATTTGTTGGCTTATGCAAATCAAATATTTTTCTTCTTTTATTTGATTTTTTCCATTTCTTTTAATATAATTTTGTTATTTAATCTTTATATCTTATGCAATATTGTAATTTTTTTATGTAAGAAATACTTTTAATAACATATTATAATAATTAAACTTTTTGAATTATCAATTAATTTAAATGTTGACATGTTTACCAGGACTATGTGGTCTAATGGTATCCGGGTTGGACTTCCATTTGGAAGATTGTGATTTCGAGCCTCAGTGGAGGCGTTATTGGCTCTTTGTGTTTCAGTAGGTTGAGAAAGTATATGAACAGATACTACATTGTAATAGAGCTAGTAACATTCAAAAAAAAATGTTGACATGTTTAATTTAAACTTGTAAAATTAATTCAGTTAGACTTTTACCAATTGTTGTTACATTAAAAATAATAATAATAATGATACGACATCAGTTATTCCAAAAAACTAACGTCATATATAAATGAAATAATGCAAGAACGGCTCCATATTTTCCGCTTCTCAGCGATGAGACCTTTAGCTGATTGAAAAAAAAATGAAAAACTCATGGGAAGCTGTTTGAGATTTTGTCCGTTAGAGTTATATCCGACTTACCTGCACGATCTTACGCAGTTGAGTGTTATATCTATCCTGCTTCTTAGTGATGAGTCCTCTTGCAGGTCGTTAAATAACAATTGGAGGTAAAATTATTTGTCATATTTTTCTCCCTACAAGATTGTTTTTTTGGGAAGAACAAAAAAAAAAAAAAAACAAAAACAAAAACAAAACAAAACAAAAAAAAAAACATGGTGTGTTGTAACATGCCCATGCTGAGCTGGTGTTTTTTCTTCGACAGCCAACTTAAAATTGTTTTATATTTATATTTTTTTTTATAAATAACAAGAATCTGTTGCTTTATGCAAATCAAATATTTTTTCTTTTATTTGAATGTTTTCATTTTTTATTTAATTTTGTTATTTAATCTTTTATATGTTATGCAATAGTGTAATTTTGTATGTAATAAATACTTTTAATAACATATTATAATAATTAAACTTTTTGAATTATCAATTAATTAAAATGTTGACATGTTTAATTTAAACTTGTGAAGTTAATCAAATTAGACTTTTACCAGTTGTTGTTGACTCTTGTGTGTTTCAATTCATTAAGTTGAGAAAGTATGTTTGAACAGATACTACAATGTAATAGAGTCAGTAGCATTCAAAAAAAAATAGACTTTTACCAGTTGTTGTTACTTTAAAAATAATAATAATAGTTTTCAAAATAATAATACTAATAATGACACGACATTGGTTATTCCAAAAAACTAATGTCGAATATAAATGAAACGTTGGAATGGCTCCATATATCATGCTTCTCAACGATGAGACCTTTTGATGATCCAAAAAAAATTGAAAAACTCATGGGCGGCTGTTTGAGGTTTTGTCCCTTAGAGTTATGTCGGTCTTACCTGCACGATCTTGCCCCGTCGCGTGTTACATCTATCCCGCTTCTTAGTGATTAGGCCTCTTGCAAGTCATTAAATATCAATTGGAGGTAAAATTGTTTGTCATGTTTTTCTCCCTACAAGATGGCTTTTTGGGGAAGAACAAAAAAAATGGTGTGTTGTAACATGCCCATACTGAGCGGGTGTTTTTTGCTTGGCCAGCAAACTCAAAATTATTTTATATTTATGTTTTTTTTTTAAATAACCCAAATTTGTTGGCTTATGCAAATCAAATATTTTTTCTTTTATTTGAACTTTTCCATTTTTATTTAATTTTTTTATTTAATTTTTTATATGTTATGCAATAGTGTAATTTTTTATGTAATAAATACTTTTAATAACATATTATAATAATTACACTTTTTGAATTATCAATTAATTTAAACAAGAATACCCTTTGACAATCATTATGCCAACCCAATTATATATTTACTCCACCACCTATTAAATGACTTTTTTACCCTTTACAAAAGCTGAAAAAGGACATTGTCAACACAACCCCACCCACGCCAAAAAAATTGTTGATGCGCAAGAAAAAACATATCAAACCCTACTTCGCCTTAAATCACCTTTAAATAAATTTATTTGTACTAAACCTTGCAAATGAAACCACAAAACTTTCCCGTCTTTGTAATCCATAACAATTTACTTCTACCTCTATTGGGCATCAATTACAGTCATTGCACAACCTACAATTTCCTGTCTCTGTAATCCATAACAATTTACTTCTACCTCTATTGGGCATCAATTATAGTCATTGCATAACGCGCATGATGCTGCTAGTGTTGAAAAATAAAAGGCATTAATTATTATATAAATATAAACAAACCGTAACAATAATACTATAAATATTTTTTTTTTTTGAAATACTCATGATTCTTTATAATGTAGTATGTGTTTTATTCTATAATTTCTTAAACATTTTCAGGTCCAAAGAATCTAAGCCCCACCATTTATTCTATAGTTTCGAACGGCAATTTATATCCTGCACCAAGGCGGCGCGTTGCATTGTGCCCCCACATGCAAAACGACGTCGTTATAATTTTTTTTTTTTTTTTTTTGAAATTTCGTTACTCAGTGTTTGGCAGTTAATTTTTCCTTAAAAAATCTCATGTTCAAAAATGTACATAATGTTATACATACACATAATTGTATACATGAATGTACATAATTATATAACAAAATACACATACTCTTTTTTAAAAGATAATACACATAATCTAACATAATACATAATAAACATAAACTTTTAACATAATACACAAAAATTTCCTGATTCGGATGTACATAATTGTATAAAAAATATGTACATAATTGTATAAAAAATGTACATAATAAAAAATATACATAATTGTATAAACAAATATACATAATCATGTCAACTTCCTACCGTGCCTCCTAAAACGACGTCGTTTTGGACGGCGCGGGGCGCACAGTGCACTGTGCGCCATGGTGCAGGGTATAACAATTGGTTTTGAATTTAGGACCATCCATTTGAAATGGTAACAAGATATCATCACACTACATGGTAATTGACTTACAAATAACTTTTTTCATACTATATATTTTTTTTTCATACTATATTATATATATTTTTAATTAAATATAATCAAAATAAAATTTTACTGTCAAATAATTAATAATATTATTTGTTGTACTTGGTCCTGTACTCTTATTTATCTGGCTTCGAGATTAACAGAGTTTCTTTTTTTTTTTTTTCTTTTTGCTTTTATTTATGTTTTTCTTTTTAAGTATTTTTGGGTGGATGGAGACTGGATTTGGATAGAGAGATAATGCCCTGTGCTAGCAGACATTTCTACCACCATATTCCTCCCCTCTTTGCTTTCACAGATTCTTGTTTGTATAGTGTCCATATATCAATCTTTTCCTTAGCTGCTGTTTCTATTCTTTTCTCATTGCTTTCAGTACATTTTCTTGTCACATCTTTCCTCTGTTAATTTTCATTCCTTTTATTCCTCAACTCAACAGCTTGGATTACATGCGAGTCAAACACTATAGAACCCACTTGCTGATAGGCTTGTTTGTGTGTGATTTGATGAATTAAGCACACCCCTTCTTGTAAATTAGTAGAATCTTGATTTTTTACTTACTTTTTGCTTTTGTGTTTGGTGGTTTTGGACCAGTTCCTCATCTGAGATTTGATTGGGGCCAAGAAGATAAAAACCAAACAATTTTTTTTTTTTCTTGCAATAGGGAAGTGGAATCTGGGAGGTGCTTTGATTCCTTCTTTGGTGATTGGTGACTTGTTATCTTCTTCCACAATTCTGGGGATTTTCAGGAGTCAAGTTCTGAAGGGGCTTTTGATGGTTGGGAAGCTTCTTTCATATTTTACAGTTGCTGGGTGATTTTTATTCTTTTTTGAGGTTGGTGGGTCATTTCCTTGCTTTTATTCTCTTGTTCCAGAGTTTGAAAGTTTATGGTGGTAAGTTTAACAGGACAAGCTGTATAGATTTGACCATCTGGTGCTTGGAAATTGTTAAGGATTTTCAGGAAAAGGGGTTTTAATTTCCTAGGTTCTTGGATGAGTTTGCTCCATGTGATTGGATTTGGTTTGAAGTTGGGGAACCTACTGTTGACACTATGCAGCTTGGTTGTAACACTGATTTCTATGAATTGGTTGAGTAATGGTGGAGTCATGACCACCAAGACTTTGCTTGATGATGGAGAGGAGATACTGACCAAGTTGTGGGGGAAGATCTCTGAGAACATCTCCAAGATCCATCATAGTTACTCTCAGTATATTGGGTCCAAGAAAGTCAGGAAAAACTGGTGGGGTCTTTTGGTGATATGGGTAGGTTTTGGGACAATTCTAGCTTTTTGTGCCTTCTGGTATTTGAGTACTCAAGCTATGGAGAAAAGGAAAGAGACACTTGCAAGCATGTGTGATGAGAGAGCTAGGATGCTACAGGATCAGTTTAATGTCAGCATGAACCATGTCCAAGCCATGTCCATTTTGATCTCGACGTTCCACCATGGCAAAAATCCTTCTGTTATTGATCAGGTTATATACCTCATCCATTGTGTTTGTGAATTTTCAAACTCAATTGAAATTCAGATAATTCTTACTTTGCATTGTTCAATGAGAAACTCATTTTTTCCTGAAAAAAGATGGGTTTGGGCACTTGGACTTTAGTTCATAGCGATGAAAGTTTTATCATGAAATTATATTTGATGCATAGTAGAAGGAAAAATGCATTTCACATTAACCGTGATGATATTGCTGCACTAGTCTCCTTGCATTTTACTATCATCTCTATTTTGGTAAAAAAAAAAAAAGACGACTTCAGAATTTTGTTAGTTTGATCTAGGGTCTAGGCTTTTTTGAGTGACATTTAGTGCTTTAGAACCAACTTTGTATTCTCTTCCAAGTACCTTGACCTTCAACAAATATTCTAATTTAGTAAGCTTTGCAGGCTACTTTTGCGAGATATACAGAAAGGACTGCTTTTGAGAGGCCTCTTACAAGTGGTGTTGCATATGCTGTAAGAGTTCTCCACCCTGAACGAGAACAATTTGAAAGGGAACAAGATTGGACAATTAAAAGAATGGACCCCCAATTTCATGAAAATGAGTATAATGTAGATAACCTGGAGCCATCCCCAATTCAGGAGGAATATGCACCTGCTATCTTTGCTCAGGATACAGTTGCTCATGTAATTTCCGTTGATATGCTCTCTGGAAAGGTAAGGCTTTTTGGATTACTTCCGAGATATAAGTATCTGAACTTATCCATTATGCTGAAATATACGGTTTTATGATATTATCGGCAGCTTTCTTAACTCATGTGATTATACTATAATGTATGCATTCAATTTGATAAGTGATTGCTCCACCAGGAGGATCGTGAAAATGTACTGCGTGCAAGAGCCTCAGGAAAGGGTGTTCTCACTGCACCCTTCAAGCTACTCAAAACAAACCGACTTGGAGTAATACTGACATTTGCTGTCTATAAAAAGGATCTTCCCTCAAATGCAACTCCTAATGAGAGAATTGAAGCAACATATGGGTATGCTATCTTACTTCACATGATTGTATTGCACGCTTAAAAAGTATGGACACCCAAGAATTCTGGTTTTGAGTTATCAAGTTGAGCTTATCTGTGTTGGAGCATATAACCATTAATGTGCAATCCAACTATCAGCTTAGGCTTTTAGTTGAGATGGAGCACATGCTACAATTATCTAAAACAAATGATTCTATACATGGTCAAATTGCCCCAACGATAATAGTTGATTCCTTTCCTTTACAAGTGGATCAAATTTAAGCTGTGACTTCATATTTAAAATTTGATCTTCAGATGGGATGAAACCAGTAGGTTTGATGAAAAAACTTGTTTGGTGTTTTCAATATAAACAGGTACCTTGGAGGAATCTTTGATATTGAATCACTTGTAGAGAAGCTCCTTCAACAGCTTGCAAGTAAACAAACAATCCTTGTTAATGTTTATGATACAACTAATCTCTCCGATCCTATAAGTATGTATGGTACAAATGTATCAATTGATGACCTGGAGCATGTTAGTTCCCTAAACTTTGGGGATCCATTCAGAAAGCATGAAATGCATTGCAGGTGATAACTCTTGAATAATTTGTGCTCATCTTTACCTTTTCGCCTTAAATTCACTACTTTATTAATATTGTTGTCCCCTTCATTGTCATGGATTTAACTAACCATTTTAGCAGACTGAATTGGCAAATTATTGTGTGGACCATGGTCCACACAATGTTATGTGGACCATAACAAAAAGTACATTTTTAATATACTAAATGTACATTATTTTTGTATTGAATGTACATTATACAATATAATGTATACTCAGAACAAAAATAATGTACATCCCCTGAATACAATGTACATTACTTTTGTACTGAATGTACATTATTTTACAGTAGACAAAATATGGTCACACAACTTGTGTGGACCATAATCCACAGAATAAAACTATAATTATGCCGTTCTATAGCTTGCTAGATGATGTCTCTGGTCTACTCAAGAATGTCATACCAGGTGACTAGTTCTTATTCTGGATGCAGATTCAAACAGAAGCCACCATGGCCATGGCTTGCTATTATTACCTCCTTTGGGATCATTACAATTGTGTTGCTCGTAGGGCATATATTTCATGCAACAATAAACCGAATAGCAAAGGTTGAGGATGACTATCATGAAATGATGGAGCTCAAAAAGCGTGCTGAGGCAGCTGATGTTGCGAAATCAGAGGTATATCGTATATGTGGTGTTTCCAAGTCCTGTCTAGCATGTATATGCAGTCTTTTCGATAATGTGCTAATATTTATTTCATTATATTGTAGTTTCTTGCTACTGTTTCCCATGAAATCAGGACCCCGATGAATGGTGTTTTAGGTGAGTCTTAGAATTTCTACTAATGAACAAAATTGCTGAACATGATAGAAGTGACAATAAAATTATGTGCCAGGGATGCTTCATATGCTTATGGACACTGAGCTAGATGTAACCCAACAAGATTATGTTAGAACTGCACAGGCTAGTGGTAAAGCTCTAGTTTCACTCATAAATGAGGTTTTGGACCAAGCGAAAATTGAATCTGGAAAGCTCGAGCTTGAGGCAGTGTCTTTTGATCCGAGGGCAATTTTGGACGATGTCCTGTCACTTTTTTCTGGGAAATCACAGGAGAAAGGAGTTGAGGTATTTTATATTTGATCATTTGTTCATGCAAGCCTTCATCTCTACTCCTATCAAATCTTCTTATATTTCTATTTTTTATTAGTTATTTATTTATTTGTGTTCATTTATTTATTCTTTTTGCAAAAAAAAACTATATGAGAGAGCAGTTGGCAGTTTATATCTCGGATAAGATACCAAAGTTGCTAATTGGTGATCCAGGGAGATTTCGGCAAATCATCACAAACTTGATGGGAAACTCAATCAAAGTAAGTCATTTAACTTAAAATTCGAAAACAAAAGGAGTATTTTACATCTGAAATTTTAGTGATATGAGAAAAGAAAGCCAATACCTGAAGGATAGAAAATTGTGTGCCTTAACTGGGTACATTGTTGCATCAAAGATCACTCTAGCCTGCATTCAGTTTTCTTACCACTTGTGATTTGTTTATTGGCAGTTTACTGAGAAGGGGCATATATTTGTTACTGTCCACCTTGTCGAGGAGGTGGTTGTTGAGCATGAATCAAGTTACGCTTTGAGTGGGTTCTCGATTGAGCATGAATCAAGTAGCACTTTGAGTGGATTCCTGGTAGCTGATAGACGACAGAGCTGGAAAAAATTCAAAGCTTTTAATCAAGAAGGATTCTCTTCTTTCAAGTTGACATCTGACCAGATCAATTTAATTGTCTCGGTTGAAGACACAGGCGTTGGGATTCCGTTTGAAGCTCAATCTCGTATATTCACCCCCTTTATGCAAGTTGGACCCTCCATTGCACGGATTCATGGGGGCACTGGTATTGGGTTGAGTATAAGCAAATGCTTGGTGCACCTCATGAAAGGCGAAATTGGTTTTGTAAGCTTGCCAAAGACTGGGTCCACGTTTACTTTTACAGCTGTTTTTGCTAATGGTTGTTTTAGTTCAAATGAGCTGAAGGGTCAGCACATTAATGATGAGTCCAACTCTCTTTTTTCTGAATTCAAAGGGATGAGAGCCTTAGTTGTGGACCCCAGACCTGTACGAGCCCAGGTCTCAAAGTATCACATTCAACGCCTTGGTATTTACGTAAAGATAGTTCCAGATTTGGACCATGGGTACGCTCGTATAAGCACTGAGAAAACAAATATAAATATTGTACTTGTTGAACAAGAAGTATGGGATATGGATTCAGGGATGGCCACCCAATTTGTAGAAAAATTAAGAAACTCTGATATCAGTTGTTCTCCTAAGCTATTTGTTTTAGCTAATTGTGCAAGTGCTACACGAGCTAACGCCTCAATTTTTGGTGTTTCTACTCCATTTGTGATTATGAAGCCATTGCGGGCTAGTATGCTTGCTGCTTCTCTCCAGCGTGCTTTGGGGGTTAACAACCGAGGAAATTACCGGAATGGAGGGCTTTCTGGTGTTCCTCTTTCTGAGCTCCTTCACAAAAGAAAGATACTTGTTGTGGATGACAACCCTGTGAACCTAAGAGTAGCTAATGCTGCCCTGCGTAAATATGGTGCTGATGTGGTCTGCATAGATAGTGGGGAACAGGCAATCTCCCATCTGCGGCCTCCTCATCGCTTTGATGCCTGTTTTATGGATATTCAGATGCCAAAAATGGACGGGTAAGTCTCACCTCATCACTCTTATGCTTAATGTATATATTGTTCCTGCACTATTTTCAATATACGATCAAACTTAGGCCCTGCTTGGTAAAATGGTTAGCCTATCAATCAATTTTGGCTTATTTGACCACTATTAGCTGTTTGACTTGGTTAAACAATTGATGTAAGTGTTTGATTAATTAACTTTTTGTAACAACTTATTGCTCCAAAATGCTAAAATTCAAAAAACTGCTCAAAGTAGCTTTTTCGATCAGCTCTTTTTCGATCAGCTTTTTGAGAAAGTCATTTTGTATGTAATCAGCTATCCTAACAGCTAATTTACCAAACACTTTTCAACAACCAGCTAATACTATTACTATCAACTAGTCAAACCTACTAACCCAATCAGCTAACAGCTATCAGATAACAGCCATTTACCAAACACCCCCTTAATATTTTTGCTACCTGCTTCCATTTATGTATTGACATTGCTGTATTTCTTTATTTTAACTTCAAATTTATGCTCATACAGTCATATGGTTAACTTTTTATATATCCATAATCTGTTATACATTTTCATAAAAGAAGTGTTAAGTTGACAATCATTATTTGATCATACAGGTTTGAAGCTACAAAAAGAATCCGTGAACTTGAATGTCAAGTTAATAGTCAAAACGAACATGGTGAACTTCTGGTAAATGCCTCGAACTGGCATGTGCCCATTCTGGCCATGACTGCTGATGTAATTCATGCTACAAATGAACAATGCCTCAAGTGTGGAATGGATGGATACGTCTCGAAACCATTCGAACCAGAACAACTTTACCGCGAAGTTTCAAGGTTTTTTCATGTCAAATCAAATTAGAAAGCGTGGAAAATGCTTCTGGTTTCGTGCTTGTAGTAGTGGCTTTGAGCTCAGATACCTGTTCTTCGAGACACTACAGAGCAGTTAAAACAATGACACAAGTTTCCCAGACAGTGAGTATATTTTTCGCTTGATATTCTGGTTTTTAGTTTTGATGATTTATTACTTGGACTGATACATGTATCTCCAGATTCCAGAAAATGCATGTCTTAAATCAACACGGAATGTATATACAAGTCGAGAGTTGTTTGCATGGATGCAATTCAAAGCTCAACCACGAGGGAAGAATCTGATGGCCCGACAGCCCATGTTGTATCGTAAAAGGCAAAGTTGTAGGGTTCATCTTCTTCTTCTCCCTTTGCACGAGTTTTTGATCCTTCACACCCCCCACCCCCCCCCCCCACCCCCTCCCCCTTGTTGGGAAGTCTCATGTTTGTATGATTGAAGTTAAAACACAGAGATATGGGCATTGTATATGTTGGATTTGAATAAAGCATTTTAGGGTGTAGTAGTAGTGTAGTGTCAACATAAATGTTGGTTTAGCACAGACAGGGTCAGGGTTGGTTGATGCCATTAGTACAGAAATCAAATAGATCAGTCTCACAGTATTGTACAGCTCAAAGGACTAGATTTATTTACCATTTCATATCCAAGTATATATAGTGCAAGCTTCTATTTAAAAGATATATTTCATCTCAATTTTCATAGCCAAAACTTTTAATCTGTTCAATGTGGTTTACATGTATTGACTCCAATCATTATTGTGTGGACCATGGTCCATACAAGTTGTATAGACCATATTTTATATACTGTAAAATAATGTATATTCAGTACAAAAATAAATCCAGGAGGTGCATGTCTGGGTAATGATGTGGTTGCAGCAGTGGTAGGCTTTTGAATCCTAGGGATGACTTTCCCCTTTCCAAACCCCCCAGACTTTAGTTCAGCAGATACCCTCTTACGTACAAGCTCTTTTGTCCAAGCTTTGATTGCAGGGTATGTTCGGTTCACCACCATCCCTTTGAACCCCACCCTATCGAAGTAGAACAACTACAAAATTACAGAAGAACATGTTAAAAAATTGAATAACTAGACATCCATAATTGCATAACTACACATCCATAATTGCATAACTGTACATCCATAATGTGGCAGAACTACACATCCATAATTGCATAACTACACATCCACAATTGCATAACTACACATCCATAATTTCATAAATACACATCCATAATTGCATAACTGTACATTCATAATGGCAGAACTACACATCCATAATTGCATAACTACACATCCAGAATTGCATAACTATAAATCTAGAATTGCAAAACTATAAATCCAGAACTCTATAACTATAAATCCAGAATTGAATAACTATAAATCCAGAATTCCATAACTACACATCCATAACTTAATAACAATACATCCATAATTGCATAAAATTCATTCAATTAAATTAAAGACACTTTATGTATAATAGGAACTTACCAGGATAAATGCCATTGGTCCTGCAAAGTATCTTGAATTGTCTTCTTTGTATGCCTCAACTGAATCAATCAGAGACTTGTATGTGTACTGGCACCAATTGAGTCTTGAAATTGCCCGGATGTTGACCAAGGACTTCAAAACTTTGTAGTTGGCATTCCTAGTAGTGTTTCCTCGGAGCATGCAGGAAACAGTGACGACCACAAAGTCCCATTTGAAATCATCACCATTGTCACCTCTTTTCACTATTTCATCTGGCATTTTTGTTGTTATGGGTGACCCTGCTTGGATATTCCACCTCTTCCTCTATGCAGTAAGGAGTTTATTATATGCACCTGTCGAATTTTCTTCAGACTTTGTTCCTTCTTCAACTTCCTTCTTTCCTCGTGGGATTCCCAATGTGTATTCCACGTCCTCTTCATCGATGTGGAGGACATCACCCTCCAATACAAAATCTCCCTTGAAAATATCAAATCTGTTCAGAAGGTATTGAACCAACTGTGAATAATTGCTGGAGAATTGCATGTGTAGCAGGCCACCAAATCCAATATCGATGACAACTTCTCTATGCGCTCGTGATAGGCGCTTGACAAGGCCAAACATTAGTTTAGGACCCATCCTTGTGTTGAAGTAGTCTGAATCTGCCTTCGATACATGTTCTTTCTGTTTTGGTGGTGCTCTCTTTCTCTTGAGAGTAGTTGGTTGTTGCCTTGTCGATGGCTCTGCATCATCTTGTTATAATCTGTCAGGCAGTCTTTTTGATCGGGTCTCCATACCACGATCTCCTCTGCCCTGCTCCTGAATTTGTGGAGTGGATTGCTCAGCAGATTGTGAGTTTAGTACTGCCTTTGTTTTTGTTTTTCTTATTCCCTTGACAAATTCTCCAAGTGTAGTTTCATCTTGTGGGTGTGAGGGTTCCATTTCTGCAAATAAAAATGTTACAAAGTTATGATACAAAGCTTAGAATGCATTTTGGTTATATATATTAGGAGACATAAGGTGCACAGGATGAGAACGATAATAGTTGATTCAGTTCAAAAGAGATTACAATAGAATACTAAAGCAGATATGTCTAACGTAAACTACTCCTATACAATAGGCTAGTCATACTAGTAGACTATTGACTTATTCTAATACAATAAGAATAACAATATAATAATAATAATAATAATAATAATAATAATAATAATAATAATAATAATAATAATAATAATAATAATAATAACATGGCTAACACTCCCCCTCAAGCTCAAGGAGGGTGCATAACCACGTTGAGCTTGTCTCGTAAAGTTGCAAACCGAGGGCCAGGTAGCGACTTGGTGAAGATATCAGCTAGCTGGTCCTTGGTCGAAACAAAGTTCACTGTCATATCTCCGGATGCGACATTGTCTCGAACAAAGTGGTAGTCAATTTCCACATGTTTAGTCCTGGCATGGAAAACAGGATTAGCACAAAGATAGGTAGCCCCGAGATTATCACACCACAGAGTAGATGGTTCTCCACTATGTAGCCCTAGCTCACGTAGTAGTGACACAACCCACGTGACCTCAACAGAGATGTCAGCCAAAGCCTTGTACTCGGCCTCAGTGGAGGAGCGAGCAACAGTGCGCTGCTTCCTGGATAGCCAAGAGACCAGGTTAGTCCCGAGGAAAACAACATATCCGCTAGTACTCTTTCTGTCTACTGGACAACTAGCCTAATCGGAATCTGAAAAGGCATGAATAGTGGTCGAGGTAGAGACAGTCAGACGTAGGCCGTAGGGGAGAGTTCCTTTGATGTACTGGAGGACTCGCTTCACGAGACCCCAATGATCAGTAGTGGGGGAATGCATGAACTGACATAACCAATTCACAGCAAAGGACATATCAGGCCTAGTAATGGTTAAGTACTGAAGTGCCCCTACAATGCGTCGATATTGAGTCGGATTGTCAAACGGCTCTTGAGTCGGTGAAACAGCCTGAGTTACTGTAGCGGGTGTAGCAAGCGGCTTGCACTCAGACATTCCGGCGCGAGCAAGTATGTCATTCATGTAACGACGTTGAGAGAGCATCATGCCAGTGTCGAGCTGGACAGTCTCTATGCCAAGAAAGAACCCCGGAACACCAAGATCCCGGATTTTAAACGTGTCAGATAGGCGACCAAGCAGAGTAGTAATCAGCGTTGCATCATTACCCATCATGATAATATCGTCGACATAGACGAGTAAGAAGACCCGTGAAGAGCCAGTTGAGTAATGGAATAATGAGACATCTGTTTTAGACGGCAAAAACACTGCAGATAACAAATAGTCATGAAGCATTTTAAACCAAGCACGAGGAGCTTGTTTCAGGCCATACAGGGAGCGCTGAAGATGACACACATGATCCGGATATGTCGGGTCTTCATAACCTGGGGGCTGTTTCATGTAGACGGTTTCAGCTAGATGACCATTGAGAAAGGCATTATGGACATCCAACTGACGTAACGTCCACCGGTGAGAGACAACAAGAGAAAATAACATGCGGACAGTAGTAGGCTTGACAACTGGACTAAAAGTGTCAAAGAAGTCCTCGCCAGCTACCTGATTAAAGCCTTTGGCTACAAGCCGGGCTTTATAGCGTTCAACCGAGCCGTCAGCAGTGCGCTTGGTCCTGAACACCCATTTGCACCCAATCACATTCATGTGCGATTTAGCGGGTACCAGTGACCAAGTATTATTGTGTAGGAGTGCATTGAACTCCTGATCCATGGCTTCCCGCCACTGTGGGTGGCCAACGGCCTGTGAATAGCACGTTGGATCAGTGGTTGCACTCAACGCCTGAAACTCTTCGTCCGTACCACGAGTCATACGGCGAAGCCGCATTCCATGCTCCCGAGTCCGAGTCGGGACTTTGCGAACCCGGACTCTACAAGCCCTGATTGGCCCTTCAATAGCCAATGCCGGCGGTGCTGCTCAGGCCAAGGGAACTGGGCTGACTGATGGGCCCGGTACAACCTCAGGAGACACCGCCATGGGGTGAGACAGAGTCTGAGTTAAGACGGGACTGGTCGCCCACGGGAGTGCCGGAGGTGATGCTGAGTTCTCAACCTGTTTCTCCAAGTCTGCAAAAGGGAAAACATGTTCATCAAAGCGCACATGGCGACAGATATAGACTTTTCCCGACGTTAAATCAAAACATCTGTACCCCCTAAAGGACAACGGGTAACCTAAGAATACGCAGGGTGTCGACCGGTACTCTATCTTGTGCCGATTGTATGGCCGGAGATAAGGGTAGCAGCGACACCCAAAAACTCGAAGAAATGTGTATGGTGGTGACACTTTATGTAGAAGACTGTATGGACTCTGAAACTTTAAAACAGATGAGGACAGATAGTTTATTAAGCAAGTCGCCGTTTCAAAAGCGTAGTCCCAATATTGCAATGGGACTGAACCTTCGGCCAGTAGGGCCAAGCCGGTTTCGACTATGTGACGATTTTTATGTTCTACTCGCCTGTTTTGTTCATGTGTATATGCGCATGATTGTCGGTGGTTTATACCAAGATTAACAAAGGTGTTATGTAGTTTACAATACTCCCCACCTAAATCTGATTGAATGGACTTGATAGAACGCGAAAATTGGCGTTCTACCATGACACGAAACGACTCAAAAGTTTTATATATATCCGATTTCACCCGTAAGGGATAAAACCAAGTGAAACGGGAGTAATCATCAACAAAGAGTACAAAATACCTATAGCCACTAGCGGAAATTACATGGGAAGGCCCCCAAATGTCGGTATATAATAAATCGAACACATTTTGACTACTTAAAGGAACCCTATCTAAAGGAAATCTCGAAGATTTGCCCATATGACATGACTTGCACGATTCCAATGATGTGACTTTATTTGTTGCAACTGGACAATTTTGTAACACACGACTTTGGACGTTTGAATGCGGATGACCGAGTCTTCGGTGCCACACAGCGGATGTTGTACGAGAGGTGAGGTAGGCGAAATGGGATTGTGACACCGGGAGTTTATATAGGCCACCCTCGGTGGACCCTTTAAGCAGTATTGCCCGAGTTATGGAGTCCTTCACAAAAAAGCAATTCTTGTGAAATTAAAAAAAAAAACAGTTATTTTCATTAGTAAACCGTTGAACCGAAAGTAAAGGAACGGACAACTCAGGAACAAACAGGACATTAGATAATTTTAATGCCTTTGACATAGATGGTACAG